ATAGGATGTGAACTGGCTAATGGATCCACTATTAACTTTGAAGAGGGTTCATTTAAAAAGTATGACCCTGTTCTACCCATAATGGCGACATGGTTTACATGGAGACTTGAGTTAATCTGAACTCGCATCCCCACATGGTTGCTCAATAATACTCCCAAAAAATATATATAATGGATTTTATGTTTTTAAAACATTCTGATCCTGTGATTTGAGATTCGTGCTCAAAATATAGCTTTTAAAAAGCTCTCTTGGAAATCATAGTTTCCTCTTTTTTCTACTAAAGCTATCCATAGGCTCTGTGGAAGTCTTGCTTCCTTTCTTTCTCAAAAGTTTTAAACTATTTTAGGTTAAGCTTTGAGGGACTACTTACATCCCTTTTAAATCTTAAGAAATGAACTCAACTTTATGCTCTTTGCATACTCGAAACCTAACTCTTAGGGAATACTTAGTTCCCTTATAGCATTTGAGAATTTAACTCAACTCTTTAATTGAACCTTAACAAATTTAAAATGTTTTTTTAAGACTCTTGAATGCTTTATGGACTTACTTTGACTTGCTTCTTAACTTTTAGACTTGACTCCTAACTTCCTTGACTTAGATCTTAACTTTCGTTTAATTAGATTATGGATTAAAGGATAATGATCTCATGTTTATGGATATTTTCATTATATTTAGATGTACGTTAGAGTATTGGAATCAACTAGGAATGATAGGTACATCACTTAGGAACTAGTACAAAGAGATAGGGAAAGAGCAGGGTCTCCAGGGAACCGTGGCACTTTGAGAGGCGCGGAGCGCCAGAGCCTTGTGGATAGAGGTTGTCCTCAGGTTCTCTAGATGGCATAGCCTCCAGCTCCTAACGAACAGATTCTATCGTGATGGGATCTTGTAGGCGCGGCTCCCCAGGGCCTATCAGATGGTTTCGCCGACTTCTCTTCTCTGATTTTCAACACTAAACCTCCCAATATTCCATGGATCTTCACCCAAAACTTAGAATGAATAATGAAATCAATACCCAATAGTTTAGACTCATAAAAAAACCCAGAATCACTAATCAAAAAAACTTAAGGTACGCTATAACTTTATCAACAAATATCTAATAATTTTTTAGTAAGAACTTCAAGAATTTATCATTTATTCAATAGAAAACTTGATGAATCAATATGTTTGTGTTATGGGTGAATAAACCCAACACAAAAAGGGCTTACATACCTTGATAGGTATCAACCCCCGATGAAATCCACACATGATCTTTGGCGTTCCTTGATGATTCATGGTCTTCCTCTCCTTTTCTCTTTTTCTCCCATGACCTAAGCGTTCTTAATCTTGTTAAACTGAATTGGGATTTGGTTTTTACCTTTAAATAACCCTTAAAACAAATTAGGACTAGGGTGAAAAGACAACTTTGCCCTTACTAAAATCCGAATTGGATTTTACTTAGCTCAACAACCCAGCTTCTCAAAGGCACATCTCCCTCATACGACATCAAATTGTTGGAAAATTGGTGGCGTTGAAAATATATTCCCAAGGTATTTCCAAATATATAAAGAAATCATGCAAACTCATCCTGAGATGGAAGTTATGGACGTTTGAAAATCACCAAAACTCACTTTTGACAGCTGGAAAATTTCCATATTTCCCTACTTAATTCCTTGGGAACATTTGCCCTCAAATGAGAACTCTTTCACTAAGCTAAGGGTAGTAACACAATTTGAGCACTCAACAAACAAAAACAAGTAATATTATGCTTACACATATTCTTATAAAGTGCTAAGAAGAGAATTTAGTACCTTGATCTTCATTTTCCCGATTTCAAATAGATGTGTACATCTCTTCTTCATACCCTCCCCAGCTTCCCAAGTCGCTTCTTCAACGAATAGGTTGCTCCAAACGACCTTGATTGAAGAAACTTCTTTTGTCCTTTAGTTGCGAACTTGACAATCCAAAATCTGAACCAGAACTTCCTCATAGGATAGGTTATCGTTAATTCCAACATTCTCTGTTTGTACTACAATGAAGGATAACCTAAGCTTTTCTTCAACATTGAAATATGGAATACAAGATGAACAGTTGCTTAGTCTTGGGGTAGATCCAACTCATAACCCACCTTACCCACTCTAATGGAGATTCTGTAAGGACCAATATATTGGGGACTAAGTTTCCCCTACTTACCAAACCTCATATGAAGCTTAACCAGTGAAACCTTAAGATACATCAAATCATCCACCTCAAACTCTAATGGGCTTCTCCTAACACTTGTGTACGATTTTTGGTGACTTTATGCCGTTTTAAATTTTTCCTGAATCACTTTAACGTTCTCCATATATTGGTGAACGGAATCTCTTCCTATCAACCCTAGCCAAATTTGGACAACCTAATAAGAGATCTGCACTTTCTCCCATAAAGATCTTCATATGGAGCCATTTGGATGCTTGAATGATAACTATTATTGTCAGCAAACTCAACGAGAGGTATATGATCATCCCAATTTCCTTTGAAGTCGATACACAAGCACTCAACATATCTTCTAAGGTATGGATACTACACTCTGCTTGTCCATCTGTCTGAAAGTCAAAAATAGTACTCAAATTTACCTCTGAACCCAAACCTTTCTGGAAAGATTTCCAGAATTGTACACTTCTATCTTAAATAATGGAGATAAAAACTCTATGAAGTCTCACAACTTCTTTAAGGTACAACTTCGCATAGTCCTCTACAAAATATGTAGTCTTTACCAGCAAGAATTTGGTTGACTTTGTCTTTCTATCAACAATCACACAAATAGAATCATGCTTTCGAGATGTTGGAAATCCTGTAATGAAGTCCATATTAATCATATCCAACTTCCATCCCGGAAGTTCTATAGTCAAAGCCAAACCTCCAGGCCTTTTGTGCTCTAGTTTTACTTAGTGACAATTTGAGCATTTGGCTACAAACTCTGCGATATCTTTCTTTATGTCTTCCCACCAATAAGCCTCTCTCAAGTTGCGTTAAATATTGGTGGCCTCTTCCAGGATCCTATCTTGGTGTCCATTCACCTTATTCACACATAATCTGCCTTGGTAGTTCAGCACACCATTTCTCCCTTGTTCAAAATCCAATACTTTTTGGTTATGGACACTTTCCTTAAAATTAAGCAAAATATGGTCTTGTTCTTGCTTCTCTTTCACCTTTTACACTAATGATGGTTCTAACCCATTAGTCACCACTATGCCTCCTTCTGTGGAATCCATAAGTCTGATTCCTAGACGTGCAAGTAGGTGCACATGTTTAGCTAACTCTCTATTTTCTTCTTGAACATGGGTGGTACTACCCATGGACAATCTTCTTAAGGCATCAACAATAAATTAGCCTTACCCGGGTGACAAAAAATACTCACGTCATAATTCTTGAGTAATTCCAACCACCTTCTGTATCTGAGCTTGAGCTCTTTTTGGGTGAACACATATTGGATGCTCTTGTGATCATTAAATATATCAACATGAACACCATAGAAGTAGTGGCGCTATATCTTCAAAGAAAACACTATTGAAGCCAATTCTAAGTCATGATTTGGATAATTCTTCTCATGAACTTGCCATTCTTCATCAATACGCAACCCAAGACAACTCTTGACGCATCACAATACACCACAAAGCCTTGATTATCCTTCGATAAGGTCAAAACCAAAGCGGTATTCAATCTCTTTTTCAACTGTTGAAAGCGTTTTTCACCAGCTTTAGACCATTGAAACTTGACTATCTTCTGAGTTAACTTAGTCAAAGGAGAAGAGATTGATGAGAATCTTTCAAAATTATCTTTTATAATAGTCAAGCAAGCCCAAGAAACTCCTTATATATATTGGAGATGCGGGTCTAGGAAAACTCTGAACTGCCTCAATCTTTTGATTGTCAACTCTATTCCCTTCACCAGAAATAATGTGGCCTAAGAAGGCCACAGACGTAAGTGAAAACTCACACTTGGAGAACTTGGCATATAACTCTTTGTCTCTCAAAGTCTGAGAAACAATCCTTAGGTGACTAGCATGATCTTCTTCATTCCATTAATAAATCAGTATGTCATCAATGAAAATGATGACAAATAGATCTAAATAAGGTTTGAAGACTCTGTTCGTAAGATCCATGAACGGTGGAGTTGCATTTGTCAAACCAAAGGACATAACAAGAAATTCATAATGCTACCTTGTTCTAAAAGCTTTCTTGGGAATATCAGATTCCCTTACTTTCAACTGATGATAGCCTAATATGAGGTCAATCTTGGAAAAGAAAGAAGCACCTTGAAGTTAATAATAAATATCATCTATTCTTGGAAGAGGATATTTATTCTTGATGATCACCTTATTCAATTGCGGTAGTCTATACATATCCTAAGGGACCAATCTTACTTCCTCACAATAAAGACCGGAGCGCCCTAATGTGAGACACTTGGTCTAATGAAGCCTTTATCTGACAAATCCTTCAATTGCTCTTTTATCTCTTTTAATTCTTCTAGTGCCATTCTGTATGGCGGAATAGAGGTAGGAGGAGTATCTGGAATGATGTCTATGTCGAGGTTTATTTTTATTTTGGAAGGGACTTCGGGTAGATCATCAGGAAAGACTTCTAAAAACTTAATGACTGGAAACTGATTGTAGGGAACTTACCTCAACGCTTAGGTCATTAACTCAGACTAAGTGATAGATACACCTCTCTGAAACCAACTTCCTTGCTTTTAGGTATGAAATGAAACGACCCTTAGGCACTGATGAACTGCTACTCCATGCTATGACGGAGTTATTAGGTATTTGAAACTTGACAACTCGAGCTCTGCAATCTATTGATGCATAACATGCATGGAGCCGGTCCATACCAACAATGACATCAAAGTCTACCATGTCTTACTCTATTAAATCAGCCATGGTACTCTTGTGACTGATGAAAACAAGACAATCATGATAGACTCTTTCTGCTAGAATGTGTTCACCAATAAGGGTGGAAACACTGAATGGTTTGCTAAGTTGCTCAGGAAATATTCTCAAAGTTTATTGCAACATAAGGAGTTATAAAAGATAAAATCGCCCCTGGGTCTAATAATGCATAAACAGTAAAGTCAAAGACTCGAATCATACCAGTGACACCATCTGGTGAATTCTCTTGCTCTTGGCGATTATTAGGAGCATACAAAGTTGTTTGTTTCTCGGCCAGTACAAGAAGTAGCTCCCTAGGTGCAACCTTGTCTGTTGGAGCTGCTGATAAAGATTGAGATCTATTGCCCCCATTCCCACTGCTTTGCTTAATATTTGGATATATTCTCATGGAATGCCCAATTTGACCACACTTGAAACAACCCGTGGAGCCTTCGCGACAGACGCCAAAGTGATTCCTACCACACATGGTGTAACACTTCGTAAATGCCATGACTTAGACTAGAGCTTAATATATTGAATAATCTTTAAAATGATGTTTTCAGACATATATTAATTTAATAAGTTCATTTAGAAAAGGTTAGAACCAAAATGATAAAGAAAGACCTTGACGTCCGGAAACTAGGTTATTTTTAACTAGTTGACGTCCCTATGTTTGGTGAAGGTTTTGAAGTGTCAAATGAAGTATAAAATTAGTAAAAAGTCTTTATATAGGTAGTATTAGTACAAAGGATCAAAACATACTGAAACGGCACCCCAAGGACCACCCTAACGGTCCTTGGAAAGGACCCAAACTTGGGCGAGCTAGCTACAAAAGACGCCTGCAAGCAGGCAGATTGGAGGGGCTCTACACGTCGCTGTATACTGCCTCAAGATTTGAGAAGCAGCATTGTGATTCAAGGCTGACACGAGGCTCACTTCCTCGACCCAAAAATTATGAAAAAGAATGGGAATTGGCCCCGCGACGCGCAATTACTTCCCAGATTCGTTCAAGTTGTATTTTTTGTAACTTAACTTCATAAAAAGCCCATTTAAGTGAAGGGTCTTGTGGGTATCTTATAATATGACTATATATTTATTCTAGTTCAGTTTTAGACAATTTTTACAAACTAAATCAATTTCAAACGAATTTCTTTCATCTCTCTCAAGAACGGTCTCTTTTCCAAATTCTATTGAAGAACAAGAAAAGCTTAAGGAAGATGACGAAGACTTCAATATTTTTATTCAATTATCATGGAATATTTGTCAATAAGTTATGGGTTTTCCATTCTTGGGATTCCTTTCCCTAAGAGGTCCTTTCAAAGATGGTTTTCAAGAATTCAAACTTCTAGGGTTTTTACTCTATAAAATAGGTTTTCTTCCTAACTATACATTTACGACTATCGATGAAAAATAATGGTTTTCTATGGTTGATTAAGTATATATTATTGAATTTTTGTCTTTCAAATGTTACATTCTCGTGTGAAACATGTCCTTGCCACATTGATGGTTTCAAATCAGTTATATCTACTACTTTATTCCATGTAAACGTTGGGATAGGAACTAAGACTTGAATGACCTATTTAATGATCCTTTCCTTTATCCTACGTTATGAAGTGATATTTTATATGACTTGAAGAGTTGGTATTGATTATTCTATTGAGTATTTCACTATGTTGTTCTTATAATTGTTGTAAGTTGAACGTAAGTTCTTGAATAAGGTACTTGGAAGCGGGAGGTAAGTCTTCTAAAGTCATGGTTAATCGATGATGTTTATGTTAACCTACAAATGATGTTACAATGATAATGAAGTATGTATGGTTATACTATGCATATGTGTGGGCTATGAATATATTAATTTGTGAGATTATGATAAGAAAATGATAATGCAAATTTATGATATTCTCTTGTATGCTTTACACAAGTTGATTATGATATGTTAATCTCACAAATGAAGGGTTACATAGAAAGGAAATTCTCATCTAATCCTAAAGAGTTTATGATCATGTTCATACAAGGAGTAAATGTCCTATGAATTATGACAAAATTTATGAATAAATGATGACCTAAAGGTTATTCACAAGGGGACTTAAGCTTAGTACCGATGGATTAGATATGAGAGGTGTCCATTCCCTAGTTCGAAGTAGGTCCACAATGAATATCATGAGATAGAGGTTGTCATGTAATGCAGAACTATGGGTCTCTAATACATCTCCTAGTTCTTAAACTATGTTTTAACCATAGGATACTAGCTAGTGGATCTTCCTAGAAAGATATGTCATGTTTGGTTCTACTTTGGTCGGTAGACCACCTTCTTTCTGTGTGAGGTTTCATGACATCGGATTCCATATTTATCTCACATGGTCTAATGTCGGTTAAGGTGAATGTTCCCTCTTGTAAAATGAAAGTCAAGTAAATGGACGTTGACTAGGGTGACTTGAATAGTCTACTTAGTATAGGTAGGGGTATGGGACTCTACCTAGACATTACACAAGTTGACTGTAAGAGAAGTCCAAGGAGATTGTTCTTATGTAATATCATAACATGAAAGGTATGATGCTTATAATACGTCGTGTTACTCTTATATGAAGTTGGTTACGTTAATGATCATGTTTTTTGTCTATATGACTTTATGAGGTGATGACTACTTATGTTACAAGTTATATGAAGCAAAGCTTTACTTATGGTCTCCTATCTTATCCAGTTAGTTGTCTGGGGTTATGAGGCTTCGCTTGACCATTGCACTTGTAGGTTGGGGATGGGATCATTTGTATGTGTTTTTTGTTTTATGTCTATATGGTGTATTGAATATGAAATGTTAACATAACTCTATGAAAGTATGTCTTTGATTATGATTATGCTTTATTTGATGGATCCTTAACTAGTATATGTTCTATGGTATGTGCATTGAAGATATTCAAATAATTTAGCACGCTTTCTATGATATGATACTTTCCATGCATGTCCCTAAATGTTATGTCCATATACCCATACTTAGTACGCGTGACATATTAATCCCATTACTTTATATTATACCAAATGTAGGGTCCGACCATTGAAAAAGCTTGGAAATCTTTCTCCAAGAGTTGGTAGTCCTCATGTTCGGGGATGCTATATTTTTGTACTCTACCTTATGAAGACTTTAGTAGTTATTAAGAATACTTTTGATTCCATTTATGTTCTTATGATTCTTTTGTATGAAGGCCTATATGGGTTATAGACTTTTTATTGTCTATGTCCTGATTAGTACTCTTTAGATGGTTTTTATATGAGACAACTTTTAGAATATGGCTATGTATGTTTTCATGATTGTTATATATGAAGTCTAAGTATACTTCACATAGTATTAAATTCTTTTAGCATTTCTGCAATTTTAAATGATGACATGTTATGACTAATTCCAAGGGCTTGTCTGAGTCCTCTGAGAGGACAACGATAGCGGTCGTATCTGGGGTAAACTCTCTGAATGTGACAAACATGGTATTAGAGCATCATGTTTAATATCTTTAGGTTCAATGTCCCACTAAACCACATTACCTAGTGTTAGTTCAGGATTGTGAAGCGCGCCACAATTGTATATGAGAGGCTATGTGATGATTAGGAAAATTGTCGTTTCTTGATAATCCTATGTCATGCCTCTAGAGTTTAGACACTATGTGTCTTTTAGAATCTAATCCCTTTCTTGTGGTTATAAGCGATGAACACAAGGAGGACAACTGCGAGGAAAGTAGGAGATGATATAACGAATGTGGGAGATACTCCCTAGGCAATCAAGTTCCTCCTCAAGTGCAAGCTACTATGAAAGATCAAGTTCAAATTGATCCTCCATCCATGACGGATGATAAGGTGAGAGCATCCCTATTCCAAATAGCCCAAGCCATCATCACTCAAGCTCAAGCTATTATGGCACAAGCTAACAGGGAGGTTGTTGCTCGAGAGAACCAACACGCTAGTACTATGGCTAGCTGTTTGAGAGATTTTACGAGGATGTTCCCCCCATGTGCTTTGGATCAAAAGTTGATGAAGACCCCCAAGACGTCCTTCATGAAGTCTATAAGATATTGTTTGCTATTGGTGTAAGTACTACTGAATAGGCTGAGCTTGCTGCCTATCAACTCAAGGACATGGTTGAGATATGACATAATTAGTGGAAGGATGGTAGGGCTGTAAGAGGTGGTCCCGTGACTTGGAAGATCTTCGAAAGGCCTTTAATGATAGATTCTTTCCAAGGGAGAAAAGATAATGTAATGTAGAGGAGTTGATCAAGCTTCGTCAATGAGGTATCAGTGTTACAGAATACTCCTTAAAGTTCATTAAGTTGTCCAAATATTTTTATTTGGTTTCTAATGCTAGGGATGAAATGAGCTATTATGTAATGGGTGTGTCCGAAGAGATTGAATAAGAATGTCCTCCAGGCATGCTTCATGACAATATGGATCTTTCCAGGTTGATGGTTCATGCACAACAAGTAGAGGAGAGTCGTCTAAGGAAGAGGAACAGAGTAGTTTTTATAAGTGTAGGCTTGACGTTCAAGACAAGCCTAAGTTCAAGAAGAGGTTTTCAAACCATGTCCCTTAAAATTTCTCAAATAATTGCAATGATAGAGGTTTTAATCCTAAACCTTAGAAGGGGAGAAATGTTAACCCACCATGATAAAGACCAACTTGTGGTAAGTCTGGCAGGAAACATGTGGGTGAATGCGTTGTTGGGACTAATAGTGTCTATGGTTGTGTCAAAAGTCCATATGGTAAAAGACTGTCGTAATGTGAGAAACCAAGGTAAGGGGAATGGACAAACTCAACCAAGCGTTCCTACCTCTTAAGATCCAAAAAGGAACCGTTTCTATGCACTCAAGGCTAGGGGTGAACAAGAGAACTCTCCTGATGTTGTGACAGGTATGTTATAAGCCTTTTTTGTTAATGTTTATGCTTTTCTCAATCCCACTGCTACCTTTTTTTTGTTAAAACTTTGGTAGCTAGGAATTTTAATGTACTTCTCCATGTTTTAATTGAACCTTTGTCAGTTTCTACCCCAATGAGTGACTCTGTTATTGCAAAAAGAGTCTATAGGAAATGTCCTATAATGCTGCCCAATAAAGTTACTCTTGTTGATTTGGTAGAACATGACATGTTTAACTTTGATATAATCTTGGGAATGGATTGGCTTCATGAATTTTTTGCTTTCGTAGATTGTAGAACAAGGGTAATGAAGTTTCAATTTCCAAATGAACCCATTCTTGGGTGGAAGGGGGGAAATTCTATGCGAAGGGGTGAAATCATTTCTTTCTTGAAGGCTTGTAAGATGATAGCCAAGTGTTGATTATACCATATGGTGAGGTTTAAGGACCTAGAAAGTGAAATTCATTCTATTGAGTCAGTCCCCTTTGTAAGGGAATATCTAGAGATTTTTGCTAATGACTTTCCAGGAATTCCTCCCGAATAGGAAATTGACTTTTTCATTGATTTATTACCGGATATGAATCCCATTTCACTTTCTATAAATAGGATGGCTCTG